TAACATTCGTTCCCATCTTCCTCTGCTTTATACATGGGATGCCTGCCACAGCATGGCTTGATAAGCAGTGCGTAGGTCTGCACCTGGGATCCGAACTGGCAAACCCCAGGCTGCTGAAGCGGAGCACGTCAATTTAACCATTGTGCCACCAAGCTGGCCCCCCAAAAAAGCTAACATTTTTAAGCCCCACTCCACTCATACCCTTCTTCTTTTATTCTCATAACTAAATCTGGGTTAGTTGGTTGGTTTTTCTGAAGCGTCCAAGCTAACTCAATATCTATTTTCTTTATTAATATAACTGTTTGGGGGTCAGTACAACCTTAGGAGATCTTCACTCTCACATACTTTTAAAGATTAACTTCTGTGTGTAAGTCAATTCATGTCTTTGAGTGATCCCTTAAAAGATAGAATTTCTGAAAATTAACCTCTGGACTGTGGCCAAAGACATAACTACTTGCTTAAAAGGAATTTTTGTTCTTGAATTGACTCTAAAAATGTACCATTTCTTTCTTTTTTTTTCAAGGTAAAATTCACATAACCTAAAATTAACTGTTTTACAGTTAGCAGTTCAGTGGACTTCATGCATTCCAGCCTCTGTGCAAGCATCACCTCTGTCCACTTGCAAACATTCTTACTACCGCAGGAGGAAATCCCAGACCCACTGAGCACTTGGTCCCTGTTCCTTTCTCAGCAGCCCTGTACTTCTTCTTTTTAATGTGATTATCTTTTTCTCTATTTTATTTTTAAAATACAGAGACATATGGAGAATATTTGTATTCTTGCTACTTAGAAATGATCGTTAACATTTGTCATTTTCACTTGAAAAAATGTTTATCATGTTAAAAAAAATGGCATTTAATTTAAATGAAGTTGCAGTATCCCTTGACCCTGTCTCCAGTCCCATTCTCTTTCCCCCAACGCTTAGGCAATATTTCTAGTAAATTTGATCTATATCGTTTAAGTCCTTCTCCGTTATTATCTATATCTAAAAATAAATATAGTTTTGTAAACTTAATTAACTTATAATGGTATATTGTACGTATGCTGCTTTTTCCACTCAACATTGTTACTGATTTATTGATGCTAATATAAATTGTCCATTTTCTGACTGCTTTATTGTATTCACCCACATGAATCAATCATATTTAATGCATCCAGTTCCCCTAGTGATACATTTCTAAGGCCATTATTTTTTTCCATTACAACCATGCCACAGTTAAGATCTTTATACGTGTCTAAAATGGTGTGACTGTTTCTTTAGGGTATGTACCTACAAGTGGATCAGAGCACATGTACATTTTCACTCTACTAGGTATTGCCAGAATGTTCTACAAAGTGGCTGTACCAAGTTTACACTCCACCATTTCTCCACGTCTTACTAACATTTGCTGTTAGGTTTTTTTTTTGCCAGTCTGATGGGAGACAATGGTATCTTGTTTTGATTTGCATTTCCTAATGTTTGTCATCTTTTAATATATTTATTAGTCATTCGGGTGTTCTCATCTGTGACTTTTCCTCTTCATATTCTTTGCCCATTTTTCTCTTGGGTGTTATATTTTAAGATTTTTCCATATGCCCTCAAACTAATCCTTTATTGGTTATGTATGTTGCAAATATCTTTTCTGTCAAAATTTTTCAACTTTGATGTATAGACTTGTAACTTGTATAGATTGTAAATAGTTGTGTTTATTAAACATAACTATTGACAATATTTTTAAGTAAAGCTTTGTGTTAACTTTATGTTTAATTTTTAATGCAAGGACCTTGCCTTAGAAAGGCTTTGGTCTTTTTAGAGCCGTTGCTGTCAGTTTCGGTGTACTTACTGACCATCTTATCACAAGAATGACAATATGGGATCTTTGTATAAAGATTTTTTTCCTTTTTCTCCCCAAAGCCCCCCGGTTCATAGTTGTGTATTTTCAGTTGTGGGTTCTTCTAGTTGTGGCATGTGGGATGCCACCTCAGCATGGCTTGATGAGCAGTGCCATGTCTGTGCTCAGGATCAGAACCAGTGAAACCCTGGGCCGCTGAAGCTGAGCACGTGAACTTAACCACTCTCCCACAGGGCTGACCCCTAGAATCTTTGTATAGATTTTAAAACACCCTGAATTAGATGAGTTTCAAATGAAAAATATGGTCTTTACTAAATTCTGCCATGTGATAAAAGGTGAAACATTAAGTACCTAAGTCCAAAGGTTATTTGTAAATTAGACTATAGTACAGATATTAAGCCTGCTTACAACACCTTTGCCCCCATGTAGTTCAGCAATCCAGAACGGACGTGTTCATTAAAATATTGAAGCTGAATTTCTTCTCTTTTACAAACTTCTAAATCAAGGTCTCCTATTTGTTTCTCCTTGGGCCACATCTCTCAAAATATACATCTAATCAGACCAGTCCCTATTTTTTATGCATGGAGCTTTGATATTTTGTTTATCTGAGTGTCCTTTCTGGCAGCGTTCTTTCAGGTATAGGCATTAATGTGACGGCTCAGTACTCCAAAGTGTAATTCTGTCCTTTTTCATCAAATGGTATTATATCGATTATCAATATCAAGTTTTATATCCAGTAATACTTACACAAGTCGCAGCCTTCATTTAACTTCTTAGGATGGCACTCAGGGGAGCTTGTCTTTCTTTCCCTCGATTTCATTAGTCATATACAGGTATACTCTAGTCTAGTGACAACTGATCAAAAGAATTGTTTAACCTGTTATTTTTGTACTTTATTTCATGCTGTTTTAAGATAAATCTATTTTATTGGACAGAATTATGATACTGAGTCCAACCTTCATTGGTTTATTCCTTTTTAACACATTTATTGTTGAAATAGAGCATTAAATGGTCTAACTATATGATAGCAGGAATCTTGCTAAGAGAAATATATTGACATTTGGTCCCCAGGAAATCTGAATTTTAAATAATAGTCTAGCAGCTAGAATAGGACTCTCTGAGCACTGCTACTTTAATTATCTGAATAGAAAGTGTGAGATTAAAAATAATTCTCTCTCCATTGTTTAGGTTGGTCACAGCAGATGTAGCTTTTTACACTGGAAATCTTCAAGCCTTAAAAGGCCTTAAAGATTTGGACCTAAATATGGCTGAGATCTGGGAACAGAAGAGGTGATGACATACTGGAAAACTGGGTAGTTCATCTGACCATGGGATGTGTACATTTATGAAGAAAATATGGATGCCTGTGATTCAAGAACTGAACCTGGAACCCAAAGTGAACTGGGGTAGGGGGAAGGGGAAAAGGAAAGTATCAGTGTTGGGGAACTGGGATTCAGTGGGATCTACAAGGAATGCCATTTTTGTGCTTCCTTCAAAGTGAGGAGTAACTGATCAGGTGTCTATAACATTTTTCATTCTCTCTGGAAACAGACTCAGGTTTCTTTGGACCAAATCCAAAAGAACACATAGCTGTAACACAGCTGTAGTTGACTAGAATGCTCTGTATACTTTATATTAAAAAATGCTTTGCATTTCTTCCAGTGCAATGAAATTCATATGGTGTCCCACCTTATTTAATGATGGTACAATTTAAAATATTAAAATCTTAGTCAATCTCTGTAGAAAGTTTTCTCTATGAAAGTAAAGCTGTTTGAAAAATTATTTTTTTACAGATCTTTCTATAAAAAATAAACATCTTTTGATTGCTTGGATTTAGGAATTCAATTTTTGTTTTAGTGACCAATGTCAAGTTTCAGGCTTTGTGTGTCGCATATTTAATCTTTCTACTACCACTGTATATCAACTGGGTAAAGCCTTCCAGAATAGTCTAAATACTTGAAAGGCTGATCACAAGTAATAAAGAATAAGATATTGGCATTTATTTATGCAACTACTAATTTAAATACTTTTTAGAAGTGGTATATGAAAGGCTGTAGTATAACAGATGTATTTTTATAAAGGTATCTATGAAGAGTTTTTTTTTTTTTGCTTTTTTATTTCTAGCAGAGGTGAGAATACGTTTTCATATATTCTGCCTACTTATGAGTTCTCATTTTAACATTTAGATAACATGAAGTATGCCCCCCTTGGGTTCTTGTTTTTATGTTACTTTCAATGTGTATATGAACAAAGACCAGGGAGAAATAGAACTTTTAAAATATAGGCTGCTGTGTTGGGGCTAGAAATAAAGGTGATAAGTAAGTTATTTAAAGACTTTTATAATACCTACCTTCAAAATTAGAATCAGCAGCACTCTACAAATGAAAGTGCCTGTGCCTCACTTCACACCAGGAATCTTGCCTAACCCTGTCAGAGTGCCTAACCTTGTGGTGATTATGTACAATGAAACAGTCTTATTTTGTGCTCTTCAGTTTCTTTAAGGAAAGCCTGTTTTCTTTATCATTACAGAGGTATGTCATTGGTTCTTAAACTGTCTGTCTAAAATAAAGCTGTAAAAAATTACCAGACTTTAAAAGACAACTTTTTTAATAGTATACAGTAAACTTCAAATTAAACAAGCAGCCTACTCAAAAACAAGTATGGAAGAATTGGAAAATGTAATTGATTCTTAGAGAAAAGCCACAAACTACCAGCAGACCTGATTTAAAAGATTATTCATAAACATTTTTCAGTGACAATAAGCAAGCTTCAAGAAGTGAAGCTTCAGGGAAAGAACTTTTCATAAAGTTATACACCCACCCCACTATAGGAGAGAACAAGGACGTGAAGGAAATGCCCTACCCACGCCACCCCCTTCAGCTGGGAAAAGAAACACCACTTTGTTTCAATAACTGGAAAGTCTGTGGAAAGCATGGCAGGCATCCCAGCTTTAGAACTAAATGAAAGGTACTAAATACCTTAAATTTGATTCCTATGGAAATAATGAGGTGGTTAAGATTCTTAGATATGGAAAAACCGGACTTGTTAGGTAACTTGCCAGTGAGTACTTAAATTTTCCAAGAGCAAATCATCCAACTGATTTTAGTAACTGTTTAGCAAGAGTAAACCATTTTCCACCATTTTATAAAGTTAGTGTTGAAAAGTATGTGTACACATGTATTGCTTCACAGCTTTATTTTTGAAATCACAAGCAATTCAAAGTGACCATCATCAAGGCCTCTGTTAAAAGATTTTCCAGCAGAGCTGCCCCAGTTTTAAGATTAAACAATATTGCACTTGAAGATGAACTAACTTCCAGGATCCTCTTCAAAGAAGAAAAGTATTGCTTCCATCTGTGCTTTTCTTAGACTAAAAGCATACTGCAGAAAACTCTAAAAATTAATGCTGCAGGGTACAGTAACATAGTAAAGTACCTGCCTATTTTAGAACCCTAGAGAACGTTTCATTGGCGGAAACTATTTAGCCCCTAATTCGTAGAAAGTGTACACAGTATTTTTCATTTCAGTGGTCCAAGATACGAAGGTTCCCAGATACAATCTTGTTCTCTAATACTGCTCCAGGTGGGATGTCAATTCGGTCACCATGATTTGCGATGATGATAACTGTCCCCTAAGTGAGAGGGAAAACAAAAAGCAACAGTGTATTTGCAACTGCAGCTGAAATGCAATTGATTTTCTTACAATTATCAAGTTTATGTAGAACTCCTTTTACAATGCAGTAATTATATTTATAAACAATATTAAACATGAAAAATAACATGTTAAGGAAAAGCGTAACGTGTCCTTCTGTAACATCTTGGCAGTAGTTTTAGATTCCTTGCCTCCTTATCAGAGGTGGTACCAGGAATGGGAAGTGGACGCAGTGCCACAGCACAACTGGCCCTTTCAAAGAACTACTTGCAAGGCCACCAGCATTATCTACCTTCATAAAGAAACTGGAAGGTGCTTGGCTTATATCTACATATAGGTTTGGGGTTTGCTGTTTTCCCTTCCCCAAAGTCCCAGTACATAGCTACATATCCTAGCTGTACGTCCTTCTAAGTTCTGCTATATGGGACGCCACCTCAGCATGGCTTGCCAAGTGGTGCTAGGTCCACACCCAGGATCCAAACCAGCAAACCCTGGGCCGCCAAAGTGGAGAGTGCAAACTTAACAACTATGCTACTGGGCCAGCCCCTTAGGGTTTTTTTAAGAACAGTTTACTGATAGGTTTTTCGTGTCTTAACTGCGACTGTTTAGATGAAGCACTATCAGCAATAAAGTTCTATTTATATATATGGTTGTTTTTTCAAGACCTTCATTTAAATAGCTTCAATAGGAAGAACACATGAAATCTAGGTATGAGATTTTGAAAAAAATACTTGATTAGGAAAAAGCCGTTGTATCTTTGGTTCTGAGTTTTCATATTTATTATACCCATAATCCTTCCTATTTCTATGCTAGGCTAGAATGATACTCATCAAAGTACCCAAGTACCACAGTAATGTGAATGAATATCTTTATACTCATGACAACAGATTAGCTTAACAGAAATAGACTGTGTTCAGTATAAATGAAGTTGTTGTTTTTTTCTACTTTCAGATTCAAATAGCCATCTTTAGTGATTCTATTTTTAAAATGATTCTATTTTTAAAAGACTGTCATATTTCAACAAAATAGTACCACTTCAATTATTTATTAGTGTTTGCTTTCCATTTGAATGCTATATTCCACAAAATTCCTATATACAACAATTATGATTGTATTTTAACTATGTTGTATATCTATGGAAGACAGTATTACTACTAAACATTGTGGTAAGCAATTTCATTTTTTAAATGTATCTATATCTTATAAACATCTGGTAAAGACTACGAAGTATTCCTTTAAATAAAGATAAATTTAGGACTAGAAAATGAAACCTGTTTTGTAAAGCTATAAGAACTGTCATTTTCATTTTAACAACATACCTTTAATGAAACATTCTTGCCAAATGTCACATCTCCTGAAACTGTGAGGTGATCCAATTCAAGCATATCTGGTATACTTTCAAATCTCCTTAGGTAATCCTGAACCTGAAGGAAAAAACAGAAACATAGAAATTGTTTCAAAAATGATTTAACAGAAAAACAGGGATTAAATTAACAATATAGTTTAACAGAACTGTAAAAACATTCTGCTTATGGCCAAGCTGAGGCCCTCTATGGGGAAGAACCTATTTTATTAAGCACTCACTATATGCTACATCTTGTGCAAGAGAGACCAGGAGATATGAACACTGTCCCTACAGTCAGGCAATTTACAAAACAGCTGAGCAGATCAGACATGAAAAAAATGAAATACAAAATAAAAAGGTAACCAACTAACATGCTAAGAGCCAGATGACTAGTTCAGATGATCTGGAGTTAGTTGGAAAAAGAGATCATCGTGGTTTGAAGCAAGCTAGACATGAGCTGAGCTTTATGGAATGTGTAGGATTCAGAAGAAATGGAATATATTTCAGGAAGAGCAACAGCACAAATTATCATTATAAATAATCACTATCTTTGCTTCATTTCCTTAGTTCTACAGACACTAGAAATTGTCCTATATGGCCTTGTTTCTGATTTTGCTGGGAAAAATAGAAGCAATTGGAAAACTTCCACTGGCTTCTACTTCTACCACCACCCCCACCCCCCACTACCCCCTAGCCCATTATTCTGTCCCTCCTAGTACTGGGGTTGGACTGTTTCCACTCCAACTTAAGGCCAGCCCTTCTTATGGCCTCTTCAAGGATATTGTCCAGAGAGTCTTCTTTCTTCCTTTTCAGTATTTTTCCCTTTTCATTGCATCAATCCCCATCAATGTATAAACAGACTATAAATTCTCCCATCGTTAAAAAACAAAACAAAAAAACCTCTCAAATCTTATATCCCTTTCTATCCATGGCTCCATTTTTCTTTTTTTTCTTTAAGGCAAAAACTCTTTAAGTTGTCTACATTAATCTCTCCAATTTCTCTTCTCCTATTCTTTTTTAAATCCATTCCAGTCTCTAAATCCTCTATGCTGATAAAGCAAATGGTGAGTTCTCATTCATCTTACTTGAAGCGGCAGCAGCACTTGACACAGATTATCATGCTCTCTGTCTTGAAACATTTTCTTCATTCTGCTTTCAGGACACACACACACTCATGGTTTTCTACGCAATTCCTCATCTGGAACTTCTCAGTCACATTTGCTGCTTCCTCTCCCTCCCCTCATCCCCATCCTCTAAGCCTTGGAGTACCTCAGGGCTCAGTTCTTAGAGCACCCCTCCCTAGGTGATCCTTATCTCATGGCTTTAAATACCAGCTATAAACTGACAACTCTCAAATTTACCTCTCTCTTCTCTCTCCTCTGAGCTCCAGACTCATACAGTCAACTTCTCCATTTGAAGATGTAATAAGTACAGATTCTCCAAAATTTAACTCCCCATGCTGCTCCCCAAGGTTTCCCCTATCTCAGTAACTGGCAATTCCATGCTTCTAGTTGCACAGGCCAAAAACCTTGGAGTGCTTCTTACTCTTTTCTCTCTTACCCTCCCATCTAGTCTAAGAGTAAATTGTATAGGTACGTACACCTTTCAAAATATCTCAGAGTATCAAAATTTTTCACTATTTCCACTGTTACCACCTTGGTCTAAGCCACTGTTTCCTCTTGCCAGGATTCCTGCAGCAGCCTATTCCCTAGTCGCCCTGATTCTACCCTTGCTCACCAGATCAGTCCCTTCACCCCTCAGCTCATGACTCTCCAATGGCTTCTCATGAACCAGAAAAAAAAAAAAAAAGCCACACTCCTAATATTCATTTACAAAATTCTACACAGTCTGGCGTGCTCCCTCTGACCATCTCTCTGTGCCCTCATCCCTCACTTGCTCACTTTGCTCCAGCCAATTGTACTAACGTCCATAAAACATGTCCTTCCTCAGAGCAACTAGCCATTGCCCACTCAGCCCGTTCTCAAATTGGGGCAGCTAAAGTTCTTACCTCCTGCAGGGTATGGAAGAGGCTAGGAAGAGTGGGAGGGAATTGAAGGAGGGATGAGGTTAGGTGGAAAAATGGTTGGCAATCCCACCTCAGGATTTGGGAAGGTAGTGGGTCCTTGTATCACAAAAGAGGCACAAAAGAACCGGGAAACTCCTAAAATGACTGATGCTATCCTGGAAATTCCAGCCCAGCCACAGGACCCAGAATCACCCCCCCATCGATATATAAGACAGTGCACACATCCACACCAGGTGGCACTAAACCACAACCAGAACTCGAATAGACGTAGATGGCATACCAGGACTCTACAGGCCAGCCACAGAGACTCACCCTGTCACTTCACTAACCTCACATTTTATGTGATTAAATTTTTTGGATTCCACTTATCATGTTAGGGTGGGGTTTTAATATACTTGCTATTCCCCCTGCCTGAAATGCTTTTTGCCACAGATACCTGCATGCCACACTCCCTCAATTTCTCAGTGAGGCCATCTCTGGCCATCCAATGTAAAATCACACCATCACCAACCCACCCACACACTCCCTATTCCTGCTTTATTTTTCTCCATAGCACTTTTCATCACTTGGCATACTATACATTCAATTTGTTTGCTTAGTATCATCCTTACCCCATTAGAATATTCATGAAGGCAAGGATTTTAGTCTGTTTTATTTACTGCTAAATACCTAGCACCTAGAACACTGATGAAAGCAGTAATGGTCTTAAAAGAGACATAAGATAAAATGTCCCAAAATTTAAACATTCTTTCCTACTCTATAGCAATCAGGTTTCAAAAGTGAGTTACATCTTTATTTTCTACAGTCAATTCCCTTTAAAAGACATCAAAGATGGAGGAATATAGGGGCTGGCCCCGTGGCCGAGTGGTTAAGTTCGCGCGCTCCGCTGCAGGCGGCCCAGTGTTTCGTCAGTTTGAATCCTGGGCGCGGACATGGCACTGCTCATCAAACCACGCTGAGGCAGCGTCCCACATGCCACAACTACAAGGACCCACAACGAAGAATATACAACTGTGTACTGGGGGGCTTTGGGGAGAAAAAATAAAAATCTTAAAAAAAAAAAAAAAAAGATGGAGGAATATAGTAGGTCAGCAGCAGAGACTGTAATTAGCTTCTAATTCACATGTGTATCATATCTTTATAATTACGTACCTTTGTAAAAGAACTGCCTAATTTAACCAAGGGCACTGTAGGAAATTCTCTCTTTTCACTCATTGTCAAAGATCCTGCATTAAGGCTATAGAGGTTTGACATCACAAGCAAGAGATCTGATGTAGTTTTGACAGGCAGAAAACGGCTCCTAGGAACATTAATACCTAGAGAGTTCTCAAAACTTTTAATGGCAGCCCCCACGGCAGTTTCTAACTGAATAACATTCAGGCCTCCATCCAAAGTCTGTAAGAAAGGGAGCAAGGAGAGAGAAACACAGGTTTTAGCAACTTAGTTCCATATGGCCTAGTTAATGTTTGGGGAGTGGTTTCAGAGATCCATTGAAGGAAACAGAAATTTTGAGAACTGACATTTATCAAGCACCTACCATATGCCAGGTGTTTATATATATGTGATCTTTTTTCAGCATCATAACTCTTCAGTAATATTTCCATTTTATGATAAAAAACTACAAGTTCAGAAAACTCATGCAAGGTGCCCGTGGCCAAAAGGCCTATAAGTATTAGAGCGACGGGTAAGACTGAGGTGGGTCCTCTACTTTTGGGCCCAATGCTCTTGCCACTACCACAGTCCAGGGTCAAGTAAGGGCACCATGCATGGCGTGGCACACTAAAGGGATAGGTGTAGATTCTGAAAGACAGGACCAGGAACTGGAGAGACTGACTAGGCAAAAAGGAGTGACCGATGGAATAGATGGGCCAGAGGGAGTTGGCAGTGGGTCTGTGTGTAGCCTACTATGATCTTAGGAACCAGGGAGCCCAGTGGTCCACAACTTTGGCTTACCTTTGGATTCACAATGATTTCCATGTCAATAGCATTCTGTTCCTGCAGTCTTTTAACTGCTGCAAGAGAGATCCATAGGTTGTTTGTGTTAAATATTTTGAATTTTGATACAGACTTGAACTCATCAACGTGTGCTTTTGGCACTTGAGCGATTTCCACCAGTCTCAGTTTGCCTTCATACTGAGTAAGTGTCCCACCCTAGAAAGGCAGAAAAGAGTGAGTGGGTGCCTCCATCTCTCTCCCAATCACAACCATGCTACACTGTTTATAGTCTGTGAATGTTCCAGAAAAGACAATGATAAAATCCCCAGAAATAAAAAGCCCAGGCAGTGATTCGATCTGTGATACAAAACAACATACATAAGAAGGTAGAACCAAAGAAAATAATTCAGGTTGTCTGTTGTTTTATACTGTATACCCACCCTCTTGTCCATAATAAAAACCCTAGGAGGACATGAGAGTCGTCCTGACTTTTCGGAGGTAGGCTACAGGAACAGCCATGCCTTTTATTCCCAAACCACTGTACATCACTAAACAACTAGTCATCCCATCTCAGACCCTGCTCTGACTGGCTCTAGGATAAGGAGAGAAAAGGGAAGACAGAGGCACAATGGACAAGAAGTGACCCCTGAGTGGCCTCAGCCTAAAGATATTCTTACAGTCATGAGGCAATGGCAGTATGGGAAGAGGGGAACATTCACTCATATGTGAGGGGGACATTTGCAGGAGGCATAGAACCCAACCCAGGGACTGACTATTTCAGTATTCACACACTGCCACTGTTCTTACTGCCTGGGGGTAAGCAGTAAAACCTTGTGTACCATTTCACCAAAGGCTGTCATCGCCACTAAACATGCAAAGTTAAAAAACAAATTTTTGCTTTGCGTCAAACTGCATTTTTTTGCTACTACAGAGAGAGTACAGTGATGAAACAAAAAAATATACAGAAATACACAGTGTATAAATAGAGACAGGATATTTTCATTAAAGGAACAATGAAATAAAAACACTCAAGCTCCAAACAAGAAGAGTATTAAGTTTGAACAAACTTATTGAAAGTGTTTTCACATATGTTTCAGATTTATTCTATAAATAACTGTGTCATTGCTTTAAGTTAAAACTGCCCGTATAGATTATTCAAAAAATAAAGATGATTTTCGTACTATTGAATCTGGATTTATAGACACACTGTTCTGTCAGGTGGCACTTAGGGTACTCTACAGAATACTATCGCATTGTTATCAAGTGGATGTGTTCTGCTTCACATAGAAACTTTCCAATAAAAAAAAATTTTGAACTACATAACCTATAAAATGCAAAGATGTGAATCCCTCAACCGCTTCCTCTCAGTATTTACCTTTACATCTGCACGTGTTTTATTTGTGACTTCCATGACAAATTCACACGGTTTTCCATTGGGTGGGTTCATTAGATGATTAAGAATATAAAGATCCACTGTGGCACCCAGATTATCTATGTTAGACACAAAAATATACTCTTTGCCTTCTCCTATAAAGGTGTCAAGCAAACCAGAGTTGTAGAAACTGGCGTAAATATCACCATGACCTGGAGGGTACCAAGCTTCTGTATTTTCCCCTGAGTATGACACATCCTTTGCTACAGGCAGTAAAGATTCTTTATTAATCCTTGGGTACCTTTAAAAAAAAAAAAGTTCTTTTTCAATATCAACTCGGTAGAGTATTCCAGACCTTCAAGTAAAACAATGCACTTAAATAAAACGTTCCTCCTTTTCAGTCTATCAATAGTAAGTAATTTAATCATAGGTGAATCCATTTAAGAAAATCTCTCATTATCTGTGTTGTCCAAAAATCAGTTTCCTAGATAGTAATATTTGCTGCAAAAAAAGGTTTTCCACGATCATACAGATGGCAGGATGCCTCATATTTTAAAGATAATATGTTTTATGACTCTCCAAGAGGAGAGATATATATTGAGTAAATTTTCTCAAACTTGCTTGCTTGTGGGATTGTTCTTTGCCCTGAAAATCTATTTGGAAAAAGCTGTCCATTTTTACAAACATATATCCAGGGGTGGTGCTCTTTCTTTCCCAGAAAATCAACAGCAGGTTAGTGCTCAGGAATGTCTGCCTCCTACCACTAGTGAGAACATGTGTAGGGGCTGGCGGTGGGGGAAGAGGGAAACCGAGGCGCTAGCACTGTGCCAGACTAAAGAGAGCTAGCGCTCTATCAGAAAACAGGCAGAGCAGCTGCAACAAAAGAAAGTGTCCATGGAAAAATACATTAAAAAAAGACAACTAATAGTACAACTTTAGAAATAACCCCCTGTGCAAGTGCACATAAACCCCTGTCTGTCCTTCATGGAAGACTTATTTCCCCAGTTCCCTGGGCTTTATCACAATTAATCATAGGCATTCCTTTTTACTCTCCCTTCCCCAAAATAGAAGATTTTCTCCAGAATGTATTAAATTTCCCTAAGCCTTTTCAAGGTGTTGAAGAAATTCCTTCCCATAGGAAAGAACATTGTCAATATTGTGGAATACAGAAAGATTTCCACAGACCCACCTGGAGCCCAAATATGGCCTCAGAAGGCAAAGACCTAAGCTATCCTCAAATGTTCTGGACTTAGAACAGAAGCTCAGGCAGGTTCTCTTTCAAGATGAGAAGTTACAGAACCACAGAGTGATGACAACAATCACAGACCTATTAAACATTCAGCCTTTAAAGGCGTCATACACTTGCAAATATTAGTCTCTGGTACATGCACATATTGAGGTTACTCTGTTTAAACAAGACAAGTCCTTCTTTCTCAGGAGTAACACCTCCCTGAGTTACATTTTTTACTCCTTTTACCTGCTTTGATTAAAAGTGTAGATTTTCACACGACAATGATTGTACTTCTGTAGAATTTTTTTTGTATCTTCATCCGTGTTAAAAGAGTTCATTAGAACAAGAGGAACATCTGTATTGTAGGATTTGTTCAAATGCTAGGGAGGAAAATGACAAATTACTCACTTACTTTTGCTTAAATGTGTAAAATTAACTCTTAATGGTTAATCACAAAATGTCCAGAACATCATTTATATGTAGCCAAATATATAGATTTGAAATAATAACTACTTGGCATGAGCCAGATATTTTGCTAAGCAATTCACCACATAACTTGCTCATTAAATCACAACCCTACAAAACAGAAACTATTGTGCATTTTACAGAGAGCTAAACTGAGGCCCAGAGAGGTGGCAGGTTAGTGGCAGACCCAGGACACCCCGCAGTCCAACTCTGGAGCTATGTGCCCGACCACAGTGGCCTATGGCCTTACTGGATGGGCAAATGCTGAGTATGCATTTACTGTGCCCAGAGCACTGTGGGGATGAAAGTACAGATGTTACAGAGACATGGCTCCGTACTCTCAAGATTAATGTCAAGAATTGTGAATCACACCCCAACTGAAATCTTTTCAATCTCTAGGAAAAGCTAAGAGGCAACACAGAGAGAAAAGAAAACAAGGTCTTAGAAGTCAGAAAGTCCTACGTTCAAAGTTAGATTGTGCACTTACTAACTAGCTAGGGAACCTTGAGCACATAAATCAACCTCTCTGTGCCTTGGTTTCCTCATCTGTAAAATGCGGATGATAATAGTACTTATCTTGCAGAGTTGTGGAGAAGAACAAATGAGTCAATTCATGTAAAGAGCTGGCAATAATACTTGGATAAATGTTAGCTAGTGCTACTGCTAATGTTATTATTATGGTTACCAGTACCGTATTAGACACTAGGGATAAAGAGAAGAAAAAGATAGGGCCACTGCCCCTGAAGAGCTTATGGTCTATGATTAATGACGTTATCATAACAGAGAAGCCAAGAACAGTTCTTAGCATCCATGGCATCCAAACAGATAGGCGAAATTCTCCCCGGCCTCCCAAGAGGTTACTAAAGCCAGAGCATCCCAGCTGAGATGAAGGCTGCCGCTAGAAAGAAAGGGGGGAGGGCTGGGAAGATCAAAGCAGAATCCCAAGAGATCCAGAGATTTCGGCAACCACAAATGCCATTTAAACATCAAAAGCTTTTACATCACCCTAAGGATTTGCCCTTAGGAACACCAAACCTTTTTATATATTAATAGAGAGACTAAAGATAGCAAGCTTCTTGACTAGCTCAAATTCATATAAGGTAACATTTATAATAGCCTAAAAACTAAAAACGATTTTAGTAGCTCATGAGAAAGGCTAAATGTTACTCACTTCAATTTGCTGAACAGTCAGATCCAAAAAGGTATTCTCATTCCTCACACCAATCAGACTTTTCGGGCCTTTGCAGCCCATGCTGGTTCCCAAACCGCCATTGAGTTTCACCACCACCAGCTTGTTCAGCACAGAAGATATATTATCAGGTAAGCCCCTGGCCTTTATCTTTTCATAAGGTTGAATCTGAAATTTTTAAAAAATTACAGAAGTAATTCAAAGAGCTTTATGAGAGGTTAAACCAAATCAATCCCAGGGTTATTTCCACATTTCCTCAAAGAGATTTGCTTTCTCTGTGGAAAGTTTCAACGGCACTTCCTGTATCATCACAGGCCCTTATGGCTCAAAAGCAAGTACTTATTGGCAACTGCCCTTGCACACAGAAGTAGTTCAGTGATTCATTTACATTACAATGGAATACAAGAAGGGGAAAGACGTTACAGTCTACAAATATTTGTCTGACTGGTGGAACATCCAAATCTCTTGAATTACCAAAAACAGAGCAAATGGGATACCCAAAACTTATCAAGTCTAAATATTTCCGGTGCACTATAGATCTACTTCAATTCTGAGGAAGTGTGTGTGTGTGATCACACATTAAAACCAAAACCACCATGGCCCTTGCCATTTTCCTCCATTCAGTCATAAGTCTGTGCTTCAGAGGAAGGTGGTCTAGGGTTTTTGTCATACTGCTAGTTGTGTACAAGGATAGAATTCCTTCCTTAAGAATTTAACTTTCAGGCATCAGTGTATAAAACATCATATTGGAAAATTAAGTGTTCTCATTGCTCCAACAAATGTCCTGGTAGGATGGGAGCGGGTGAAAGAATCCCAGCTCGATCACCTCTCTACACCCTAGTGTATTTCTGTTAGCACATTAAGATTTCTTAATCTTCAACGTCTCCCTCATAGGAAAGGAACAGTGACACAGTGGAAGCCCAAATTCTTTTGTTCAAAGCGGAGGCAAAAGCAAGTCTAAACATCTTGTAGCAAGAATGAAAGCTTTTAAAAAGATCAGAATAGATTTCCTATCCATTTACAGGACATTTTGTTTTGTCTTTCTTTAACAGAATAGGTCATCAAATGTACTCTTCAGTAACATCATGGTGTAGGATAGAAGACACTTGAGGGGACTAAAAAATAAAACCACACAGTAAATGCTCAGCAAACACTGAGCTGTTTTTATTTGTTCTGCTACCTGTAGGTGTGTGCGTGATGTTGTGTGTATGTGTGTATGTATGTGTGTGTGTGTGTGTGTGTGTGTGTGTGTGTGTGTGTGTCATGGACGAAGTCTGTGATTGGAAAAGGAGTTGATGGGCTCACACTCCAGTGATTAAGCTGTGGAGGAAACATCCCTTTATACTTGGTCAGACAAGCATACTTACATGTCATGTGTAGCTTCCTGACCACACAATTCCTACTGTTAACAGCTCTTTCCACAACAACTAGTCTGTGACTCATTTTCTCTACTCTGCAAGACACTATGAATACTTTCTTGCTTGGTGTAAATACTGAGGAACGTGGAGCACTCTTCTCCAAGACTCTCTACTGGTTATCACCCCTTCTGAATTATTTCCTAGTGTGGTAGGATTTCCAGTTTTCCTGGTAAATGCCACTAAACAGTCTTCAGCAGTCATTCAGATTCAAAAGAAGGGCTGGTGACAAAAAAAGACCGGAGGAGGGGCCAGGCCTGTGGGCATCATGGCCCTCCAGTGGGTGCTACCTAAATACTGGGATGCTAACCACCAAAGAAAAGGAGGTCAGGGAGGCAAGAAAGAACACAGACCACACTGGTTGGTTCCCTGGCAGCACTTGATCCAGGTGAAGACAATCTATGGGTGATGATAACATGGATGCCCAATACACACACACAAAGTGCCCATGGCCCAGTTGACTGTCATGCCTTGAAGAATGTTTTGACTCCACTCCCATGAACATCATTTGTTCAGCATTTCAAAGAAACTGGTAATATTCCATGAGAGAAAAAGTCCAATTTAAGTGCCATACTACCAGAAAAGTAAGAGTAGATGACAGAGCTGGAACCTTTTGTCACTCTGATATTACACGATAGTTTATAATCCTTTCTAGCCCAGCTACTGAAATCAACCAGTCAGTAAAGGAATGCCACCATGATACAACGGCTTCACGTAATCTATTATCAGGTTAGGAGAATTTCTTGGGTGCATATTTACTCAAAAGAGTGAGAAAATGGGACCAAGACAAATATTTTGCAATTATCTTTTAAAAGCCAAGAATTTCCATTTAGCAGTTACTTCTGACTTCCCAGGAAAGAATTTGATATTTACAGAGGTCTCACAAGTGTGTGAAAATCAATTTAACTGAAAATCCCTGATTCATGCATTCATTTTAGGTAAAATTGTTAGTTGATAAAAATTTTTACCCATTTAATGCTTCTTTGAATATACTTTTTAAAAACTACAATACATAGAAGCAAATTTCTTTTTCTACCCATGGTGAGACAGGCCTGTTTTCCAATTTCACCTAAAAACTATTCATTGTGAAACAATATACATACACAAAAGTTTATAAAATACACATATACAGTTGGAAAAATAACCTAAATAAAGAATACTGCTATAATTTAGAAGCCTCTACGTGTCTGTCCCTGATCACATTCCTCTTCCACCTCTAGTAGTATCCACTGTTTTGACTTTTACTCTCTACAGTTTTACCACTTATGTATGTAGCCATAATAATATTTTTACTTAATTTTATGTCTCTAAATTTTTAAATAAATTGAACCATACTATAAAGTATCCTCTTTTGACTTGCTTCTTTAATTCATGTTATATTTTCAGAATAATTCACATTAATGCATGCAGCTATAGTACATTCTCCTTTCACTATAGTATTCAATTTATATATCCATTAAAAGAAACAAAACTGTCAATATTCACAGATGATATGATTTTATATGTAGAAAATCCAAAGACCCTACAAATAAACTCATTATTAGAATAACGTGATCATAGCAACATTGACGATACATGGTCAATCTTCTAAAAAAGACTACTTTTGGAACCCTTGTACACTGTTGGTAGGAATGTGAAATGGTGTTTACATGTAAAATGTAAAATGGTTTCCTATTAAGGAAAACAGTATGATGGTTCCTAAAAAACTTAAAAGTGAATTATCATATGATTCAGCAATTCTACTTCTGGGTATTTACTGCAAAGAATTGAAAGCAGTCTCCAAGAGATGTTTGTATACTCACCTTCATAGCAACATTATTCACAATAGCCAAAAAGTGGAAGCAACTCAAATGTCCATCAACAGAAGAATGGATAAAACAAAATGTGGAATATACTTACAATGGAATATTACTCAGTCCTAAAAAAAGGAAACTCTGACAAATGCTACAACATGCATGAACCTTGAGGACATTATGTTAAGTGAAATAAGCCAGTCATAAAAAAATACGGAGGCCAGCCTGTGGCCGAGTAGTTAAGTTTGTGTGCTCCGCTTCAGAGGCCCAGGGTTAGGAACCTGGGCGCAGACATGGCACCACTCATTAGGCAATGTTGAGGTGGTGTCCCACGTGCCACAACTAGAGGGACCCACAACTAGAATATACAACTATGTACTGGGGGGATATTTGGGGAGAAAAAAAGCGGGGGGGGGGGTGGAAAAAAGAAGACTGGCAACAGTTGTTAGCTCAGGTGCCAATCTTAAAAAAGAAAAAAAGAAAGATAAATATGAGGTACCTTCATATAGTCAGATTCATAGAGACAGAAAGTAGAAGAGTGGTTACAAGAGGTTGCGGGTAGGGAGAAATGGGGAGTTACTGTTTAATGGGTAGAGAGTTTTAGTTTTGTAAGATCAAAGAGTTCTGGAGATTGGTTGCACAATAATGTGAATGTACTTAACACTACTGAATTGTATACTTAAAAATGTTTAAAGATGAAAAAAAAGATTAACTGTTTCTACATATAAAGAATTAGAAAGTAAAAGTGACTAAAAAGTTATCTTTTATAATACCATCAAAAATAGCAAATAGCAAATATCTAGAAATAAATCTAACAAAAGATATGCAAGAGTTCAACATGGAACACTAGAAAACATTTTTGAGAAAAATCAAAAGATTTATTTAAAATTCAGGGATGTAGTTACAGGTTTATAAATTAGAAGATTTACTTACGTAAAGACGTCAATTTCCCCCAAACTGATCAATGCAATCCTAATCAAAGCTCAAGAGTTTCTTGTGTGGAAACTGACAAACCAATTTAAAGTGTTTATGAAAATGCAAAGGGCCAAGAAGAGCCAAGACACTTTCAAAGAAAAACAAATTGGGAGAACCAGCTTGGTAATACTTTTTTTAAATTGTAGTAAATATCCATAGCATAAAATCTGCCAGCTTAACCAGTTTTAAGCGTACGGTTTGGTAGTATGAAGTATATTCACAACCAATCTCCAGAACGCTTTTCATCTTGCAAAACTGGAACTATACTTATTAAAAAACAAGTCCCCATTCCCTCTCCACCCACCCCCTGGCAATCATCCTTCTACTTTCTGTCTCTAAGAGTTTGACTATTCTAGGTACACAAGTGGAATCATACAGTATTTGTCCTTTTGTGACTGACTTATTTCACTTAGCACAGTATCTTCAAAATTCATTTAGCATTCTTTTTTTAAAGTGGCTTATATGTTTGAGGATATTCCAAATTAACACAGATTTTTCCAGAAAAAGGTCTATATTTAATAAAGTTTATGTATGTGCATGCAATATATCTGGGAGAAGGAGAGACTGGTACAAAGGACTGGAATACAGGTGTAGGTTGACAGATTCTGTGGCAAATTGAGTCTTATAAAACTTATTTATTCCATTTGCAGATATTAAAACTGGAATAGAATACAAGTTCTAAAGTCTTAGTAATCAGAAAACTGATTCTCTTTATTTGAATTTAATAAACATAACAATGCACCCTTAACTTTGAAATAAAAGATTAAAAGTATGACAAGAATACTACAAGTGTAACCACAGTTCTAAAAGTATAAACCTAAGAAAATGCTGCTCTTCAGATACACGTGAAAACAATGCAGAAAGGGAGGACTTGGGTTTCAGACGCTGCTCAACACCTGTGTTCTAAATTTACTAGTATCCTGAGGGATGGGCAGCCTGTCATTTCAAGGCAAAAACTTTACAAAAATGTAAACAATGTAAAAAG